TCCTGCTGGGCACCTGCCCAGACTCGCTGCTACCACATTCCCCTCTGCCATGTCCCGGGCCAGACCCTAGGCCCCCCTTGCCCTGTCTCTTGCCCTGCAGCGGCAGAGCAGATGCTGAAAGGAGAGTGACCTGGGCTTGACCAGGGTTTTTCCCACTCTTCCACTTGCAGCCTCCAGCATTTAACGTCTAGGAAATTCTGATTCAGAGGCCGTGTCCTTCGCTCCCTCCCCTTGCTCAATAGCGACCGATGCCCCTTTCCTCCAAGAATGCGCCCAATCCCTTGTTGAATCGGGCTTAAACCACACCTTGTGGCAGCGAGTCTACACGCTGGGTGAAGACCTTCCTTTTGTTCGTTTTAATGCAGCTTTCTTCCCCTCTTCCTTGTCACCCAGCCTCTCTGGGATTTACCAGGTGTTTTTGCTCTCCATCACTCCCTGCATACCTGTAGCTGAGCGCTCACGTGAGCAGATGCACGAAGCACACCTATCTGCTAGCCCACGCAGCCGCGAGACCGGATCCTTTGGCTGCAGCCCTGATACTACCCCCTCGTTTGCTATTCGAGGGTGGGCCCGATGTTTCTCTTACCATGCCTCCGTTTCCCTGCCCTGGGCATAATGGGGACAGGTACTTCCCTGCTGGGATTTCTGCATGACTCGCAAGGCAGCGGGAGGCTGTGGATTGTTGTATCCAGCTCAGCTTTCTCCCTTGCCTGGCTGAGACTTGCGGAGAAAGTTGGGCTCGACAACCTTAGCATTAGGGAATTCGGGATGGCGATTAAGATCGCACACCCGTGCTTGCGCTTATGCATCTGCCGGGTCTCCAGGAGCAGTGATGGGACGTCTGGGGACTGGATCTGGCAAGGGAGGATGGAAAGGAGCAAAGTCTCCAGCACGTGGCTTCCAGGAAGCAGCACTTTTATTGTGGCCTGGCCTTCAGCACGCTCTGCCGTTCTTTGTTCCCAAACCTCCTTATCGCAAGGGACCTTCCAGAAAGGCTGCGTGGTACCCGCGGTCAAGGACAAAGCTGCGGGCTGCCCCACGGCTGGCCGACGGCACTCAGGGTGGGGCCTCCGGCCCCCCTCACCCTCGCCCCTCCGACAGTCAGAAATGAGTTTGCCACGAAAAGAAAGACAATGGTGTGAAGGAGATGATTTCCATTCTGAGATGCTTTCATTTTGCCTCTTGCGGTAACGGGAGCAGGTTTCCTGCAGAGTGTGAAATGAGGGCAGGAGGCCGGTTATAAGCCAGGTCATCACTGGGGCAAGCATGGGGAATACCAGGCCAGCCCTGAAGGGCGACAGCCTGCCGAGACTTCGTGGGAGCTGGGAAAAGCCCTGAGCCCCGCCAAGACCACACTTTTCTCTCTGAGCCCCATAGCATCAATGCCATGCACCCCCGAATGGGATGCATTTTGGTAGCCGTGTTGGTCCAAGACCAAAAGAAATGCAAGACTCTACAGCTCTTAGCTCGGACACGATACCTTTCATTAGACCAACTAAGAAATCACAAGAAAGTGAGCTTTCTTTGCAAGCATTCGGGCTCACGCGCCCTTCTTCAGGCCGAGGGGAAATTTAAAAGACGGTAAAAGTCCCCGGAGGTAGGCAATACACTTCATTTTTGCACAGAGGAAGCTGAAGGTGGAAGTCTGTTCCTCTGGGTCCCTCAGAGTTTCTTTGTGCGAGTGGGATGTATTTGGTAGCCGAGTTGGTCGGAGATGAGAAGAAATGCAAAAATCCAGAACTCTTGCTTCACAGATGATACCTTTTTATTAGACCAGCTGGGACTAATAATTGTAGTAGACCAGTTGGTCTAATCAAAGGTATCCTGTCTGAACCAAGAGATCTGGATCTTTGCATTTCTTCCTTGTGCGAGTTGCTCTTTGATGTGCAGATGAGGCAGGACTTCTCCCCTGGCGGCGTCAGATGGCGGGGAGGTGCAGAAATCTTCCTTTGTTGTTTAGCAATGAAGTCGATCGTTCCAAAATCGACTACAAATTTGGCATCTTCCACGTTTCGGAGATGGATTTGGTAGCCGTGTTGGTCTGAGACACGCAGCCCTGAATGTATTTATCCTCCCAGCACCCCTTCAAGTGGGAGGAACTGAAGCACAGAGAGAAAAGCAACTTGCCCACGTTGCGGTAGTGGGGGCTAGAAATGGGTCCTGCTTGGAAGAGGGGACCATTCTGAGCCTGGACGGTGCTGGAGAGCCCCACGGGACCGGAGATGTTGTCAAGGGGTCCACACCAGAGCTGGAGGCGGGGTTAAGGATTGGACCCTGCCCCTGGCATGTTGCATGTCTCCCAAGGATCCCTGAGGACGAGGATGCCTCCTACCACATGTTGCAACAGCTGTGCAGTGGCTTTCTCCAAGACCTGCCCGTGCCATCTCCGCAAGGAGATCTCACACCCCAGACCCTGCCTCTAACGAGCCCCATGGAGTAACATGCTGAGTGGGAGCTGTTCTTGATTGATTTTTGGGGAAGCAGGATGCGACTGCAGCCCCGCTGTGCCCCGAACTGGGCTGTGCTCCTCTTCTGACCCTTGTCTTGCCTGCCAGGAGCAGGGGGTTGGACTAGATGGTCCTCTGATCCGACCCTTGAATCTATGGACGATGTTAGGGGCACTTGTACACGTCACGCGTTGCTCGGGCTAGACCAGGAGAAGACCCAAAGGGAGGCCTGCCAGAGATGGAGGCACTGCAGAAGTGGTGTGTGTCCTGTGAAGGGCACTCGCTTCCTAAAGAAAAACTGTTTTCAAAGCAAAGCCACAACCGGACAGCAGGGATGGCATGGGAGCTGTGGGCTGCCAAGTTCCTTAGCACCGTGGGGATGGGAGGGAAGGCTACGGACGACTGAAGATTAGAAAGTCTAATGTGTAGGGAAGAAACAGCTGAGCTCGCTCCTGCGTGGGCGTATGGTATTCCTCCCTCCCCTAGGAGCCAGCTGCTTGGAAAGATGCTCTGTGGCCTCTACTGCTATCCGTGATTGCATTGGTTGGCCCAGTGTCTGCGCAGTGAGATCTCTGCGCTGCGACCGGTACCTTGGGGGCGATTGCACTATTAGGTGCCTTTTGCTTCTCATTGCCGTGTTCTCCAGGATGTCCAAGCATGCTCCCACCTTCTTCCTGTGCAACTTGCTCTGCCATGGCCCCGGAAACCGGGTGCCAAGGACCCCAGCTTCCCCTTCCTTGTGGCTTCAACCAGCTGGTTTCCTTCACCACGCGTGTGTGGCTTTCCAAAGCTGGCCGATCTGTTTGTCCTATCTTTGACCTCCAGCTTCACCGATCTCCTCCATCCATGGATAGCGTGGAAAGGAAAAGGAGCGAATCCAAAGCAGGAGAGACATGAAGCTTCCCACATGTTTCGCCGGGCGACTGCAGGACCAGCTCTTCAGGGTTTGTCTTGGTGGCAACGATGCGACAGGAAGTGCCAACCATAGATGCTCAAAGCTAAGGAGCCAAGAACCCCAAACCCTCAAATTTGAATTGATTTTTAAGGGGGGTGGGAATCAAACCTTGGGATCTTATTTACCCTCTGGCTTTTGAAACCTCTGCACAAATCTGGTATGAAAACGTAATCGCGAGGGATTGACTCATTTCTGGATGAAAGCTGACATCCTCATCCCCTCGCTCTCGTAGAGGCAGATATACACACATGCGCGCAGCTTCCTATGGGGACGTCTGCTTCCAGGAGGCTTGACATTCGAAAGCCCGTGACCGCAAGACTGGTGATAAAGCCACGAGAGCTGCCAGCGCTTGCACTGTAGGTTTGGACGTGACCGCCTGGAGGTGCCTCGCACGTCGGCCGCTCTTGGAGCCAACCGCAAAACCTCCAGGGATGCAGCACCCTCCGCGCGTGAGGCTCTGCAGCCTGGCATCATGCATGAGGCCGTACCCTGCCCGTGTGTGCCACGGGTCGTGCAGGCGGGCTCAGCCTCTTGCAGCCGGGGATGCCCGCGCGGGAGTGTGGGCAGCCCGGCTGCCCCATAGGATGGGTCGTTGTCTGATCCGTGCTCGGGGCTGGGCAGTGGGGCAGGATCTGTGCTCGGGGTGCTGTGGCATGCGAGGAGCTGAGAGCAGATTGCCTCAGGAAGCAGATTGCAAGAAAACGCCCAGCACCCGCAGCACGCAGGCCTCTGGGGAGCTGGGCGGTGCCTTGGAAGGCTGCTAGGAGCGTGTTGTTCTGCGTGTCTGGGATTTGCTGGTACCAGCTGGCTCGGGAGCTGCTGGAAAGCAGCTGCCTAATTCCCCGCTGAGCTGGCCTTTCCTTGCCGGGTTTAACCCGTTTAACCCCAGCTTCTCGGTGCCCCCTCTTTATGTGCTCCCTCCAGGGGCAACTGGGGGTTGTGCTGCCTCCCAGGCCCATCCACCACTGTCCTCGTCCCTTCCCATGCTGTGCCGTCTCTTCAAAGCCCTACGTTTTAATTTGCACTGGGTCCGGGTCACCTTGACGCCCCCCAGCCGGCGTGAAATCCTGGTCCGGCGGCCCTCGAACGGGTTCCAGGGCTGAGCTGTTCCCGTTCGCCTCTTCCCGAGGGCGGGTGGGATTAGCTGGGGCCTCCTTGCTGTTGCCCCAGAGCAAATGGGGTGGTTCTCTGATCCTCAGGAGCCCCCTTCCTCCCCGGGGCTGATGGATGGGGCTGCACGCTTGGAGCTACGAGCCGCCATCCGCTGCCAAGGGCCCCGATTTCCCTCCCAGGCCCACATTCCTGCAGCCGGCCTCCCCGCTCTCCCCCGCAGCTCGAGCCGCAGGAGCTTGGCCGTGCTCTCGGGTTGTCCCTCTCCACCTAGTTTCCACCCCAGACAGAGGCCGCGTTTCGGGGCTGGGCAAAGGGATTTCCGTGGTGCCGGTGGAAGATTTGAGTCGAGCGCCTGTTGTTTCTAGGCTAAATCCCGGTGTCCCTGAGGATGCCCCGAGCTCCCAGGTGTGGAAAACAGATGCAAGGGGATTTCGGAGCGGAGCTGCAAAGTCCCCCAAGAGATGGTAGTACATGGTGGTTCTTGGAGCCCTTTTCAAAGCCGCTATTGCTGTGTCTCAGATGAAGAAACTGAGGCACAGCCAGCAGGGAAGGTCACTAGACGTCTTGGTCACCGAGATGTCCAGTGACCTTAGAGACCTTGGGGGTTATCAGAGGATCATCCCTGGGCTGCTTCTGTTGGGATCTGGAGGTTCGGGGAAGGCACGGGGCATCTGAGCATCCCCCGGACCCGGGTTTGTCTCCCCGCACCAGCCTTTAAGGGGGGTGCCTCAGCTCTCCGGCTGTTCGGGGGTTAAAGTTATTCTTAAAATAAGCCTAGAAATCCCCTCTGAAAATATCCGGAAGGCCGGGAGGGTCAGGGACCTACTGGCAAGGGGCCGGTTCTGAGTCCCGGGGGGCGGGTTTTCGGTACTTAAAGCTCGTGGGCAGACACGGCCGCACCGGCGTCCGTTCGGCTGGTTGGAAGGAGCGCAAGCCGACGGCTGCCTGTTGCTCCTGGCATCGCAGAGAGAGGAAAAGCAGCCATGAAGCCAACTCCTTTCCTCCCCTTCTTCCTCCTCCACCTGGGCTGGAGCTGCGGGGGTAAGTCGCCTGGACATGCAGCTGTCTGCGCTGGGTGGCATCGTTGCCTCGGCTAAGACCTGAGCTGCTCTACGTAGCGCCAGGTGTTGCTGGCAGCCTGGTACCCACCGTCTCCGGGTGTGATGCCGCCCCTTTGCTTTGACCTGCCTGTCAAGGCTCCTACAGGCGATCTGTGCCCGTTTGCACGGAGCCCCCCTGGAAACCCACCCATCTCCACCCTCCAACTCGGGCAGAGGTTTTATCCCCACTCGCCTGCGCGGCGCATAGGTCTATAATCCATTGATTTCCTTTTTTTTTTTTTTCTTAATTTTTTCTCCCCTCCCAGCTTAAACCTTATTAAAACCGGCTCAAGGAAGGGAGAAAAATGCACGTCCGCGTCGGGGGAACTTTTTTATCCCTTAGCTGTCTGGCTCTGCCCAGCACGAAGCGAGCGGGATTAGAAATGTTGACACAACTGAATCTCCGCGAGGGCTGGCTTGAGCTCTTAGTCCAACGTAAATAGTTCAGGGCCTAATTTTGATACCGCGGGAGACATCTGGAGCTGACCCCGCGGGTTATGCGGCATCTGTCGTGACACACGGGTCCCCTGTGCTGCCACGCTCCAGTAGCCGTGCCAGCCTGGGCCTGCGGCCGTCAAAGCCGGTTTAGCGGCACAGAATGGGATCGCTTTGTGATGGAGACTCCTCTCTGCAAAGTGGGTTTTGAAACGGCCCCTCTTGCCCCAGGTCTGCAGACCCCCCCCCACACCGTCCCATCCCATCCCACGGGCTCCCTTCCCCTCCCAGTCACAACTGGGACCTCATTCATGCCCCGTCCCCGTGCTTCTGCCCTTGTGCCACCGCTTGCTAGGAGGATTTGAATAATATTAATGGAAGAATATGCATGATATGCATACTAATAACTTGAATGTTGAATTTATTGATATCCGTATCTTACTGTTAATCTCAGGATCATATGAAGAGGCATAGCGGCGGTCGCAATAAAACGGTGTAGGTTAATTATAATCTCATCTCTCGGAATCAGGATAATACAATGTAAATAATATGAATGGGTTTGAATAAGAGGGGAAGCATCGGGGGCTATTTCTCGGGGGGCAGCAAATGCCCACCTGCCACTACCGAGGGCTGGGGGCTCTGCCAGTCGTCCCCGTGTGTTCCCGCTGGCTGGGGGCAAGGCTTGGCACTGGGACGCCCAGTCCCTTGTGGGCAGCGAGATGGGGACCGCTGGGTCGGGGTCGCAGCCGGATCCTCAGCTGATGTAAACTGCGTCAGCTCCAACGGTTCCAGTTTACACCGGCCCCGCGGCGAATTCAGGCCCTTTTGCTTTTTCTCTCGACGCTGTGCAGGGGCCTTGGTCAAAGTTTCCTTGCCGTTGCTTTGCAGCGATGTCTCCCCCAGCGGGGGCTGCGTGTGCGGACCGCCGTGGGTAGGGCCCCTGGGTACGAACATCTCATTAGAGATGGAAAAATACGATCCGAGTCATGAACGCAAGCTTTTCTTTCCATAACCCGTCCCTCTGCATTGGCAGCGAGCGTGGAAGAGGTCATTTCACGTGCACCTGGCACTTCCTCGCCTTGCAAAACCCAAGGGGAAGTGGAGGGAGATCTGAGTTCAGCTTTAAAAAAACCAGCCAGGCCTTTGCCCTTAAATGCTATAACGAGGCTGAGAAATTTGCATTGTTCGTCTATGATTGACAGTGTTCCTACTCCGCACGGGCTGCCCGGCTCCTGGGGGGCAGCAGGGGGTTAAAGCACTGGGGAGGACGGCTGTTCGGGCCCGGTTTTTAATAAGCGGTTGTAAAATCTGTGCGGTAGGTGGAGATGGACGGCGAGCTTTTCCCCCCACGCTCTGAGATCCTTCCCCGAACTCAAAGGGTTTTACAAGGAGCATTGGTGAAATGCAGCCACCTCTGGGGTGGGAGACATCAGCCCTTGCACGGCATCAAATCTCCCCGTCTGGGTCAGGCTAAAAGTCCATGTACCCAATTCCCTGCCACTGCTGGGAACAAGCAGCAGCTGCTTTAGAGGAAGCAGGATCTGGGTGGCGTGGGCTGTCCCGTCCCTCTGCGCCCGCCACCCCGCTCGGCGTGACAGCTGCGAGAGCGGGGATTTTGGCCAGCCGCCCTGGGACAATGTTTCCTCATCCTGGAAATGCCTGGGGGGGATCTCTGACTGTTTGTGGATCCTTGGCTTTGGAGGTTGCCTATCTGCAGGGAAGTGAGACGTCCTGGATCCACGGATGTCAATGGCAAAATCCTCCTGGGACGGGCGGCCGCAGGCTTCGGCGCTCTGCCGCGCTGCAAAACGGGATCCGTTTGTAACTTTTGGAGACTCGCCGGGTGCGAGATCTCTTCCTCCTTTGTCTCAAGGCCCGTTGCGTTCTCTCCCACCAGGCCCGCTGCCCAGCACCCGCCCCGCGCTGACCGTGCTGCCCCGCGAGCCGCTGGTCGAGCTCGGAGGGTCCATCCAGCTCAACTGCTCTCTGGACTGTCCGAACGGCAAGGTGGAGTGGAAAGGGCTGGACACCAACCTGGGGAACATCCTGTCCTTCCCCAGCCACAGCATCCTGCAAGTCACCAATGCCCACGTCACCACGCGGGGCACCAAGATCTGCCTGGGGTTCTGCCAAACGATCATCCAGACGTCCGTCTACCTGGAAGTGTACTGTAAGTGTCCCACGCGGTGCCCCTCGCAGCGATGTCCTGCCATGCTCTTGCCACCCGCTGCAGACCGGGCGCTGAGACGCTGCCTCTGTGGTCTCCAGCTCCCCTGTCGTCTCTTCTGCAGACAAAGTAGTCCCAGGGTGCCTACGTTCCCATGGACTTCAGGGCTCCCGGACCCCTTTGAGGCATCGCCTCCTCCCTCAGTCCAGGGGCCTGGCTGAAATGCAGCCACTCCTGGGGTGGAAGAAGCAGCCGGCCAAAGCAAGACGGCACCTGGGACCATGATGGGGGGCAGGTTTTCAGAGGGGAGCAGCAGCCGCAAAGGCCCTGGGAGCTGTGCGCCGCCCCTCTGAAACCCAAGCCCTATAGTTCGGTGCTCTGGCCTGCGTGGGGCTTTGATGCCCACCCCCTCCCCGGCTCCTAAACACATCAGTCCTTTTGCAACTAACTCCTAGCCGCGCGGCAGGCAGCCACGAGGGACGAAGCTGGCTGCTTCTCACCTGTAATTCTTCCTTCAGCTTTTCCAGACACGCTGCAGCTGGACTCCGAGCCCAAGGAGCTGGTGGCCGGGCAGCCGGCCCGGCTCTTCTGCTCCATGAGCAAGGTCTACCCGCCTGGCAGGCTGATCCTGAGCTGGTACCGGGGGGACCAGAAGCTGGGGACCGCGGAGCCGGAGGAGGACGAGGATGAGGACGAGCTGTTGTACTACCGCGCGCAGCTGGACGTCCCCGCAGCCGACGTGACGGAGGGCGCGGAGTTTCGGTGCCAAGCGGAGCTGTTTCTGTCCCAGCCCCAGAGGCATTTCCAGCAGGATCGAGCAGTGGCCGTGCCCGTAGCAGGTGAGTTGGAGGACAAAGCCAGGCCTCTTAGTGCCTAGATCTGGGGCCGGGCTAGTGCTATGCAGAGCTTCAGCAAAACTCCCCTGTTTTGAACCTACACCCCTGGGAGAATTGCACTGCTCCCTCCCTAACCCCAGTCGCCCCTGAATCTGATACGTTCACCTTCCTCGGCCCTCTATACATCTCCCCCCTGTTCCTGAGGTCTCTGACTTCTTTCCACGAGAGCTATCAACCTCCGTGGCTCTCCTCCTTCCCTAGCTCGAGTCCTGCTGGGAGAGCTGCTTGTCCCAGGTCGGGTGCATTATGATGGGGAAGGCAAAGGGGCTGATGGGACTCGAGGTTTCCATGCCAGCCCCCTCTGTGGCTGGTTTCGGAGGGGAGAGGCAGCCACGGGACAGTGGCAGGTTCTTGCCTCCCGTGGTAAAAGGGGTGAGGAATAGCACCTATGTCGTCCCAGCTCCTGGGAACAGGGGGCATTGATAAGTTTTAAGAATCAACATCTGTTCACAGCTGTAACGAAGCCATCCCTGGAGCTGGCCACCACCACAGAGATCCCCGAAACCGAGCCACCGTCTGCTGCAGAGACCTCCAGCACAGCCAGGGACCCTGCCAGCACTGCAGGGCCGGAGATCCCCAGCTCCCCCAGTGGGACCCCGAAGCTGGAGTCCCCGGCCCCCACGGAGAACGCGGCCACTGCCTTGGTGGCTACAGCCGAGACCCTGCCCCCTGGGCAGACTGCTCCGACCGAGATCCCCACCGCGGTGCTCACCGTGACGTCGCAGCCCCCAGGGACCGCGGCTGCCTCGCTGGACCCTGCAGACACCACTAGGGACTCGAACACCGGCACTAGCCCAGCCCTGGTGAGCGGGAGCCCCAGTGCGGAGCCGAAGGATGCCACAGGGAGCTCTCCAACTCCAGAACCCGTTAGCACCCGGTGCCCCAAAAGCACCACCCACGATCCCCCGGACAGCCCCAAAACCAAGGCCACCTGCAACCTCTTCATCAGACCAGTGCCTCCCAAGGGCATCACCGGGAAAGCCCTGAATGTGGTGTGCTACACCGAGTGCCGCGAGGAGGTCACCATCCAGTGGGTGAAGACCCCGCTGGCGCTGTCCCGGTACCAGGAGGAGCTGTCCGAGGGCAAATCCACGCTGAGGATCAACCGGGTAGCCCCAGAGCACCAGGGAGACTATCAGTGCGTCCTGCTCAGCGCCAGGCCCCAGATAGCACATCTGCACATCACCGTGTCTCCTGGTGAGTGAGGGCACGCAGGCTCGGCCGGTGGTCCCCGGGCGGGGGCAAGGGGCTGAAGCTGGACATGGGGAAATGCCCCCGCAAGTTCATTGCACGGGGAGATCGGGCTCTCCCAAGCAGCCACTCCATCCGGAGCATGGAGCCGGGTCGCTATAACCTCCCTGCCGGCTCTGGCAGGCATGGGGCAGGGAACGTACTGTGCAGAGATGAGGGCAGAGCACCGGGCTCGTTCTGGTGTCCATCTCCCGGTGGCATGGTGACCTTGAGAGCTGGGGCAACTGCTCCAAATCCCACCCTGTGGCCCAGGCACGAGCAGCACAGGTCTCCCTCCCAGCCCAGCCAGCGCACTCCTGCCTCGAGCTGAAGGGAGCAGACCTTGTCTCTTCACCTGCAAGACTTGCCCACGCAGCCGTAGGGGCTGGTGGAGACCTGGTGTCCAAAGGGCATCTGCACCCAGCCCCAGTTGGCCAGACCGAGTCAGACCAGTGGTCTGGCTGGCCCAGTCACCCATCTCTGACATGGCACGGGTGGGTACTGTAGAGAAGGATCGTCGAACTGGATACCTCTAGAGGTGCGGATGGTGCCCTCCTTGCCATCCACCACTTTAGGGCTAGAGATGGCAGAGGAAATGCCTCCGCCTGTTGTGTTCAATAGCCGTTGCTAGATCTCTCCTCCGTGAATGCATCCAGCCCCATTTCGAGCCTGGCTCGGCCCCCTGCCAGGCCAGAAGGTCCACGGCCCGTTCTCAGTGCCCTGGGCTGCGTGGCACCCCGATCTGCTCTTCCGCTTTGGCACGGAGCTGCTTTTTCTATTGCCCCGTGAGCCTGTCTGAAAGGTCAGCATTGCTTTCCACCCCGCTTCGCATATGTGAGCTCAGGGAATTTCCCCGTCGGAGAGGAGAGCATCTGAATCGCAATGCTTTTATCCAGTGCCAGGCAGCTCCGTGCCTACGTGCCCTGGGCTCTAACGCCCCTCTTGGCTTCTCCTTGCAGACACGTTCAGCGCCAACACAGCCATCGCGGTGGGGACGGCCGGCTCCCTCCTGGGACTGATCATCACGGGCTTCGCGTCTCATCGCCTCTGGAAACGGCTCAAATCCCGGTACAACGTGTCCTAAGGGGCGCACACAGGCCTGTCGCAGTCGCCCTTGGATGACCCCCCGTTCTTGCTGGGATTGAAGGGGCCCAGGGCAGAGCCTGGGCTGGTGCCAAGGTCAGCCAGCGAGCGCTGAGCAGAGGGGAGCGGACAGGCCTGGAGCAGCCCGTTTCTGTCCCTGCCTCCATCCTGCTCCCGGACGTTGTGATTTCTGGCTCCAGTGCGCTGCAGCGGTTGGGGCTCTCGTCCAGCCGGGTGCTGGGGCCTGGCTCGGTGGTAGCCGCGATTAGTGAGTGGCTTTGAACTTCGTGGGGCAGTCGGACAGGCCGCGGGGACCAGCCGGCTCTCAGAAGTGCCGTGGATCTCCCCTTCGCTGAGCGCTAACTCCCTCCTTGCCCGAGCTCCAGGCGGAGAGGATGAGTCGAATCTCCCTGGACTTGCCTCCGTCCCTTCCTTGGGGGTTACAGCACCCGATGCTCCCAGGGCCTTTGGTCTCAAGCACGTTGGTTTTAGGGCTATGGAGAGGTGACCACGGAGGCTGATGCCTGGTGCTGGATCATCACGGAGGTGCCCTGTGCAAGGGCAGGGGTGTCCTTGATCTCCCTGTACCCCGTGAAGGCTGGAGAGGGGGCTATGGGGTGCCCGTCCCGCTTCCCTCGACACGGCCCACATCCACCGCGAACCAGGTGGAGACCGACACGCGTTCCCTTTCAGGGTGCCCAAGACCTTCCCCTGCCCCCCTCCGCAGCTGGAGCAGGGATCCAGCTGTGTCCGTGGCGCGTCGGCAGCGCCGTGGCGCCTGCTGCGTGGAGCACGGCTGTCCTAATAAAGTGGCCTTTTCAAGGGTTTCTTCGGCTCCTTGGCGCTTCTGTCTCTAGGTGGGGGTTGGTGCGTGGGGCAGGGTGGTGGGGGGCCAGGCCCGTTGTTCCCCTGCCTTTAAAACCCAAAGCCAGAGTCCAGCCTTCAGCAGCTCTGGGAGCCCCCGAGTTTGCAGGAGGCTCAGACGGAGCGGGCGGGTGGGGGATGGCAGCCGGGCTGCACCGACCTCACCGGGGTTCACAGCAGAGCCCGGTCCGAGCCGAGGAACCGGGAATCCTGGAAGGAGCCGACCGACCTCCTTGCCCCGAGTCCAGCGGAGCACCCGGCTCTCGCTTCCCCATCCCGCTGTCTGCGCCCCCCCCGCACCGTGTCACGCAGTGGAGAAATCCCCCCCAGCTTCCCTGGGGAACTTCCTAGAGAACTTCCCCATCAGGGCACAGGGTTCAGGGCTGGCGTCATCTGGGGGGAGGAATCGACCAAGCGGAGACGAAGGGGAGACACAAGCTCAACCAGGCCCTAAGGTCAGTAAGTTCCCAGCCAGGGCAGGAGGGGTTGGCGTTGGCCCAGCCTGGCCTCCGTGACTCGCTGGCTCCCTCCTCGGGCGGCCGAGCCTCTGCTGAGACAGCCGGTGGCTGCCGAGGCCAGCGCGGCCCGGTCTGCAGTGGGGGCTCCTGCCCTGGCAGCGTGGCTCTGGGGGAAGACAGCAACCTGCCCTTCGAGGCCTTGTCCACGCGGCTTGCCCAGATGTGTGGGGACCTCTCTCCCCAGCCTCTGGAGAGGCAGCGTGGGCCCTAGTTTGACGAGACTCCTCTGAGAGCTTCCCCGGGCGTTTGCTCCGTAACTGAGCAGCGCTGGATCACGGGGCCTTTTGCACTCGGAGGACGGCTGCCCTGAGCAGGCTCGCACCCCGCCCCCAGCTCTGCCAGGACAAGGGACTTCAGCCCGGGGGGATCCATCCGGGCACTTTCACGGGCGAAGCCAATGCAGAGCCCCTCTGGCTCGTTCCGGCTGCGCTGCCGTGGCAAAGGCAGAGCTGGGAGTCCCAGGGAGGATGAGCCCAGCTGGGCACAGCAACTGGTAAAAGGGGAAATCCTTTCTCTGCCCTCATGTGTCTTTCTGCAAAGCCAGAGCCCTGCGGTGCCCAGCCAGAGCCAGGGCAGGGTGCCGTCTCCTGCGGGATGACATGCTGCAGCTGTCATGGCAGCCCCACAGCGGGGCCCCGGCTGCATCTGTACAAGTAGCTGCACCCTCTGGGGTAACACAGCAAGCCCTTGTCCCCCCACACCCACTGCTTGGGTTTGGGCAGGGATCTTCTTGCCCTGTGTCACCTGCTGTTGGCTAATCCCTGCCCCACTCCCTCACCCCCACTCCAGCTCCAGGTGCAATGAGAGTCTCAGGGCCAACTTTGTAACCCCTTTTATAAAGGCAGACATGGGAAACGTTCAGGAGACTCAGTCTTGCCAGAGCCCATCTCCCCCTGAAAGCTGCATGTCAGCAAACGAGGCAAAAGCCCCTCACTTACGTTGTAGCCTTGGTGCTGCGATAGTTCCCTTTGGCCAGAGTCCGTGCCCCAGACAAGGGGGGAGAATGTAGGGTTGTAAAGAGGGGGATTCTCCTTCTCCAGCATGGGCACAGAGCAAAGGACCCTGCTCCCAGCCCCTCTCCTGCTGCGACTGGAGGTCAGACGTGCCTCCCTCTCCTCCTCGTGTGGCAAGTCAGGGGAGTATAACCGAGCTCGTGGAGCAAGAGCTGCCAAGCACCCAGTGCCGGATGCCAGCAACCCGAACCCAGAGGTGGCGGCAGGGCTGTGACTGGAGTGACCTGAAGACGGAGATCACCAGGTGGGACGGCCGCAGCCATCAAAGCCACAGGCCTCCTGGGACCAGCAGCTTTAATGCCGGGCTGCATCTCGAGTACATGGAACAGCGCGGGCACATGGGAGCACGTACTCAACGCTGGACATACAGGCATAGGTGAACTGGGTAGCTGCCCAGGCCCAGACAGAAAGGGGGCCTGAAAATGGTCATTTTTTTTTAATTATTATCATTATTTCTAGCAAAAGGGAGCCCAAAACTAAAAGTTCACCCAGGGCCGCCAGGAATCTAGCTACGGTGCTGCACGTACTCAGGACGAGGAACCCTGGCGTTGGCTCCCCTGCCCCTTCCCCAAGCCCCAGGAGCTCAGATGTTCACACAGTGAAGCTGGGACAGGGATGTTAGCAAGGTCAGAGGAGAGACGTCTCAAGGGAAA